GCTCACACACACAGTGACTCAGCAGAGCTCACAGAGTACGCTTGCATCAATGTTAAATGCTATTAGAACAACAGTGAGCACTGTAGAGATTGACACAACTGTATCCTTTTGTTATGAGAGTTTTCTGTAACCTCAACATGAAAAGAAACCTGTTCATTGTTGGGAGGACTTTTAGGTGACTTTAAAGCACATCAAGAATGACTGTAAAGCAGGACCAAACAACTGAGGAAGTTGTGTTACCTGTCTCTATTTTCAGACATGCGTATGGAAGCCCGTTTACGCCACTGAAAAAAAAAAAAAAAGGTAATTGCGACTTTTTATCTCACAATTCGGACTTTTTTTCCCCACAGAATTCTGATATAAACTCGCAATTGCGAGTTATAAAGTCAGAATTGTGAGATATAAAGTCACAATTGCGAGATTTAAAATCACAATTATGAGCTATAAAGTCAGAATTGTGAGATAGTGTCACAATTGCGAGATAAAAACTCGCAATTCTGACTTTTTTTCACAGAATTCTGAGATACAAACTCGCAATTGCGAGATATAAAGTCAGAATTGCGAGATATAAAGTCAGAATTCTGACTTTTTTTTCTCAGAATTGCGTGATATAAACTCACAATTACGAGCTATAAAGTCAGAATTGTGAGATATAAAGTCACAATTGCGAGATTTAAAATCACAATTACGAGCTATAAAGTCAGAATTGTGAGATATTAAGTCACAATTGCGAGATAAAAACTCGCAATTCTGACTTTTTTCACAGAATTCTGAGATATAAACTCGCAATTGCGAGATATAAAGTCAGAATTGTGAGATATAAAGTCAGAATTCTGACTTTTTTTCTCAGAATTGCGTGATATAAACTCACAATTGCGAGCTATAAAGTCACAATTGCGAGATAAAAACTGACTTTAAAAACTGACAATTATCTGACTTTTTTTCTCGCAATTGCGAGTTTGTATCACGCAATTCTGAGAACAAAAGTCAGAATTGTGAGATAAAAAGTCGCAATTACCTCTTTTATTTTTTATTCAGTTGCGGAAACGGGCTTCCATAACACATACTAGATGAATCGTTCACTATGAAAACAATAATCATTTTGTGCTTATTTTAAAGCTTAAATATGGTTCTGATACCATGGTTTTACTAGTTATATTGTAGTAATACTATAGTAAAACTGTAGTAAACCATGACTGTAGTAACCATGTTTTTTTTTGGTGCAAACCATGTTTAAAAAAAAAACATGGTTCTGATACAATGGTTTTACTACAGTTATATTGTAGTAATACTATAGTAAAACTGTAGTAAACCATGACTGTAGTAATCATGGTTTTTTGGTGTGAACCATGGTTTTAAAAACCATGGTTAAAGTACCACAAATTAACTATGGTTGTATTACCATAGTTTAACCATGGTTTTACTAAAATACCTCAAATTACATTTAAGCCTAGTTATTCAACAAACATCTACAAAAAAAAATACAGAATGACAAGTTACTGTTCTGTGTAAAATTATAGAGTGACACGAAGGTAAGCGCATTATTGTTTTTTTTGTTTGTTTGTTTTTTAATTGTCGGATTATAATTCAGTATGTAGCCTATCAATGAATGACACAGGTTTGACTGTGTGCATGAACGAGTGTGAAATACCTGCTAATTACGTTGCTTTTTCCTATCACTTATATTGGGCACTTTTTGCATTTAAATTGGATTATCCCTTACGAAAATTATCCATGGTTTTACTATGGTAAAACTGTAGTTAACCATGACTGTAGTAACCGTGTTTTTTTGGTGCGAACCATGGTTTTAAAAAACCATGGTTCAAGTACCACAAATTAACTATGGTTGTAATACCATAGTTTAATCGTGGTTTTACTATGGTTGTATTACCATAGTTTAACCATGGTTTTACTAAAGTACCTCAAATTACATTTAAGCCTAGTTATTCAACAAACATCTACAAAATAAATACAGAATGACAAGTTACTATTCTATGATACAGGCTTTATTACAGCAGTTACATCATCTGAAAGAAAATATGAACTGTTGCTATTGTTCTCACATGACAAAATGATTCAGAACTATGAACTACAACTTTATTAAAAAAATGGTGAAAAAGCACTGCAGTGGTTTTCTGCTCATTTACAAAATAAAAATGGCAAATTGTTTCACTGTAATAATGCAGCATCTCTATAGAAATTAATTACATGTTGTACAAATAAACATGACTTACACAGCACATACACAGCATTATACCGCCTACCTCCTTTACAATATCTTATGTAGGGCTGCAACTAACAATTGTTTTGATAATCAATTTATCTGTAGATTATTTTTTTATTAATTGGATGAAAAATATATATATATACATTATTTTTTTAATTAGAATAATTTTAATCCATTATTTTAAACAATGTAATTTCACATCCTGCCTACGAAAACAAATATAATGAATATAACTATGCAGGTTCTGCTGTACATTATAAGCATTAAAGTGTTAAAATACAAAAAAACCTAAAAACAACAGATTGCTTGCTGTTTTAAAACAGAATTTAAAACAATTTAAACAAAAACACAAAATGTTAACTTGTACGATGAATCGTTCGTCTGAAAAGTAATTATATTATATTAATGGATAATTCCAACAATAGTGATATCAACTCACATGAGATGAAGATTTCAGTCATTTCAGGCCTAAAGCAAGCTGATTTATTCTACATCGAGTCACCTCATGGGGGCCGATGAAGGCCAGATGAATCCTCCACTCTTTTACTTGGTGAAGGTAATGCCTCTCTTTTCAGAAACTTTTGATGCTGCATACATGGCAGTTGTTAGTATGAAGTATAGTCCAGTAGATTACAGTCCACCTTTGGTTTGGTTGTCTTGATCTTCACCCCATATGGTCTCAGGACCTAAAAATGAGAAGAATATATATACACAATATTAATAAACAGCTTGCCGAAATACTCAGTTGTTATTGGTCACTTGCACACTCATCTAAACTCTTAAAGGGGTCATATGATGCAATTTCAATTTTTCCTTTCTCTTTGGAGTGTTACAAGCTCTTGGTGCATA